CTGTTGTCTCTTCCTCCCACCTTCCCTCCCTCTGTCTACCTTCCTCTCTCCCTGCCTCCCGTCTCCTCCTCTCTTCCGTCTTCTTCCTCCTCTGCCTCCCTCTTGTACAAATTGTGCCTGGCCACCATCATTAAGAAGAAAAGATTGAGGCACTAGGAGGCCCATGTCCCAACTTGCAAGGGAAGCTTAAAGCTGAGAAATGTATCAGAAATGACGTAACACAGATGTCGCGATTCCCCTAACTCTGCAAGGAGGGATCTGGAATCTTTACACACCAGAGGCATTGGTTGAGTGTTTCTGTCAGTGTGGCATGCACAGGAGGCGTGACATTCTGCTGTGGCCTGAAAACAGCCCTTAGGCATAGATCAGCATCTCTATGCTGATCTGCAGGGTAGGTATCGTCCCCTCCGCACTAAGATCCGCGATATGGGGCTGACGTATTCAAGATATCCTGGCCAGTCTCTGGTTTCCACGAGTCATTCCCCTACTGGGTTCATCAGATGGGTGGACAGACACACTATCTGGAAGGGAACTGAGAAGGAGGAGAAAGCTGACGAGGAGGAGCAAGAGGAGCTGCCAGGCAGGGAGGGAGCCCGGACGAGAAGGAAGGAGGAAGGATAGATGGGAGGAAGCAAAGAAGGAAGGAAGGAAGGCAGGAAGGAAGAGAAAAGAAGAGAGACAGACAGAAAGCAAAAGAGAGACAGAAACAAAGACAGGCAACCGAGTAGGAAAGGAAACAAGAAGAAGGAAGGGACAGAGGGAGGGAGGCAGAGGAGGGCGGGGGTGGGCTGGGGGTGGCTGGGGGTAGGGAGGGAAGGAGGAAGGAAAGAAACCAGAGAATTAAGGACTGGAAAGGATCCAGCACGATGAAGGTGTAGGCAGCAGCACGAAGTCCTGGACTAGGCTAGTTCACAAGGCGAGGACTAGAGTCCCCAAGTCATCCTGCTTTGCCCATGACTGCCCCAATTATATCACGGAAAGTCCCAGATGCTGGGCATGCGCTCAAGCCTAGATCAGTCAGGAGTGCTGGTCAACAAGGACGTCCCTTGAGTGAGGCAGTGCACGGCTGCCGCCTCTGCCCACGTGCTTTGGTTCTGCCTTGCCTTTTGGAAGACAGGAGGCCAGACAGCCTCTACCCAAGGTCCTTGATTGAACTGGGACACACAGGTGGGGTAGGGTGCTACGAGAGGCAGATGCCTGTGGGAGTCTGGAATCAGGCTTTGTGGGGAAACCGACTTGGGCTCAGGCCTGGATTCTGGTGGTCCCTCTGAACATACCGACAAGTCATTCTCCGCCCCCTCCCACCCACTTGCCCCCTCCCCAGGAATACTCCCAATCTACCTACAACCTAGGGACCAAAGCTGGGGAGGGACCGCTGCTCGGACACTCCTCAGGACAGCGGGAACTCTATCACATGACCTGATAGTGAAGCAAGAACGACGCTGCTGATGTGACCACGTTGCTTTCATCTGAAAACGTTTCTCTGCGTTATTCTCAATTAGGAAACACATTAAGCACTTATTCTCTAAAGATTCCTAACATGTAGGGGACTTCCTCTTCTACCAGCCCCCAGTGAGTATGGGAAAGGATGTAAACAACAACAAGGAAAGTCCTGCCCATTGGTCCACACTTCAGGGGGTCCAGTGTATAAAAGCCCCAGAACAGAAGGAGGCCCCAGTCTGAACCTGAGAAACTCACCTCTGAACAGAAGCCCCCACTCCACCCGTGACACCATGACCGACTCGTGCTGCTGCTCCCCTTGCTGCCAGCCTACGTGCTGCAGGACCACCTGCTGCAGGACCACCTGCTGCCAGCCCAGCTGCTGCGGGTGCGGCGGCAGCGGCTGTGGACAAGGCGGCAGCGGGTCCAGCTGCTACGGGTCCAGCTGCTGCTGCCAGCCTTGCTGCTGCCCCCCAACTTGCTGTCAGACCACCTGCTGCAGGACCACCTGCTGCCGGCCCAGCTGCTGCGGGTGCGGCGGCGGCTGTGGACAAGGCGGCAGCGGGTCCAGCTGCTGCGGGTCCAGCTGCTGCCAGCCTTGCTGCTGCCCCCCAACTTGCTGCCACACCACCTGCTGCAGGACCACCTGCTGCCACCCTTGCTGTGTGTCCAGCTGCTGCCAGCCTTCCTGCTGCTGATTGCCTCACCAAGAACCACCATCTGCACACAGCACTGATTTGCCATTTGGGAAACAAAGTCACTGCCAAACGTCGCTGAAAGCCACCACGCCATCGCCAATGTTTCTGCCACTCGTCTGCCTCCTCACAAGCTCGTGATTCGGCTCGATGAGGGTGGACCACTTCTCCCTGAGGCTCAGCTTCCTCCGTCTGATGGGTCACGTGCCATCTTCTTGCATCCTGACCTGGACTCGTCATCTCTGCCTTGACTCCTGCACAGTCAAGATCTTCACCCTCTCACTATCAGTACTTAGAGAAACCAATCCTTATGCCTCGGGCACCAGTGTCTGCCACGACCAAAAGTCTGGGCATCATGTTTCCTTTGTCCGTGTCCTTGCAGTGCTTGTATCCTGTTTTCTCCCTTGCATGATCCCTTGGAAGGCTTCCCTCGAGGGCAGCGGATCTCACCTCTATTTCTTAATAAACCCTGTAGTGTTCTGCATCCCATATGGTGTTCGTGCCCTTGATGGCATTCGCGACGTAACGATGTATATACACAGGTCACATACCGCGTGCATTAATCATTTGGAGCCTCACACACTCCCTCACCAATCCACAGCTCCATTTGCAGATGAGGAAATCTTGGGACATCGTGTCATAGAGCTGACAGGGACACACTCAGACACCAGGCTGCAACTCCTCCTGCCCTTGCTGAAGGGCACTCCCATTCCCATCTGCAGGCGAGTTAGGCACTGCCCTGGGCCTGAGCCCTGGCAAGAGGTTTGTTGGAGTGTCTTTGTGGACCGCGGAAGTCCTCTTCTCCTGTAGGTGCCGGGGATATGTGGGACAAAGTGGTAGACATCCATATCCTACAACTCAGTGACCCGCAGCCCCGTGAGAGGGCAGCAGGCCCTGCCCCTTAGAGTTCTTGGGAACACAGGGACCCTTTCGTGGCCTTGAGCGCCATCCAGCCCATCATGCACTCCTCTGCCTCAGAGATAGGTGAGCCTGCGGTGGCTTCATGACCAAGGTCCGCGCCTGCACATTCACGTCTTGTGGGGCCATGGAAGTCCACTTCTGCTTGGGCTTCCTGGTCCTCAGGACTCACTGGCAGAATACAGAGCTATGAGGCATTTTTCTGCCAAACACATCATGCTCCCCACCTGCAAGGCAATTTGGCGTCGTGATCAACATGTTCCCAAGACAAGTAAGGACGGGCGACGTCAGGGACCGAGAGCCTGTGCAGTGGGCGTGTAGGATGACTTGGAGTAATCCATGGCCTCTGAACCATCTACAGGAACCAAACAACCTCCAGCGTTTGGGAAAGGAACTGTGAAGCGTTCCAGGGAAGTCAATGTGCCACTCTGGGAGCAGAACTTATGCGGGAGTGGGGCAGAGGGCGGGGGAAACCAAGTAAAGAAGAAGAAAGAGAAAAGAGCATGGGCATTCACAGGACTCAACGATAACAGAAGGCTGGCGCTTCTGGTCCTGAACTAATGCATAATGCTGCCTCGGCGCTCAGGGATGTGAGGCTGGATTCAGGCTCTGAGAGGAAGAGCACACATAGGCCCTGAGACACCTCCCAGGATCAGTGGAGGGACCTCTGATGAGCTAGGAAGGCTTCTGTCTGGGACACACGCCAACATTGAAGACCAGCTATCTGGGAGGCTCTGGACAGACTGCCAAGACCAAACACGCCTCCTGCTGGTCCTTAGGACCTGGGGGTTTGCCTGATGAGGTGGCAACCCAGACATGACCTGGGTTGCTTCCTACTTGCTAGGTCTGGACCCAGTGCTTCATGACAGGGACACACTCAGATGCTAGGCTGCGTCTCCTGCCCTTGTTGAAGGGCACTCACCTTTCATTTGCCAACCACCTTTTGCAGAACCACCTGTTGCTGGCTCATGGCCCAGGTGCTGCTTCCATTGCATCTACTGCCCACCCTCCTGCCACATCACCTGTTTTAGATCTACTTGCTGCCTCCCTTCATGTGTGTCAGTCTGCTCTTACCCTTCCGCTGTCAGTTTCCACACTATATAGTGATGTGTCAGAGACCAGTGTTCTCTCAGGCATCAGTTCTCCTATTACTGCCCCAAGGTGTATTACCTTGCTTTCCCTGCATCTAGCATGGTTCTTCTATCTTTTTAGTCATAGTGTTGATTCAAAGCTCTGCCAGTATGCATCGTGATGCAATAAACACCAGTCTTTCATTCTTCATCTTTTTTGGTGTTGATCTATGATAGTTGTAGGCCTTCTCTCTCCTTGTGCCATACTCCTTGTGGCAGCCTTGCAAAAATTATCACCATTTTGCCAGTCAGCATTTGAAGCAGTTTTCATGATTATATTTTTTGTTTCTTCTTTGTTTATTGTTTCTTTATAATTATTCTTAATGTACTTATTATTCTTCTCTCTTACTTCCTTCTCTCATAATTTCTCTGTGTTGCCTTTCCAGATGTGAGGTAGGTTTTCTTGTTCCTTTTTAAGTCTTTGCTATCTCCAGACCATATTGTAGTTTTTTCTTTAATACCCAATTTCATTTCATGCCTAACATTAATAGTTCACTTCACAAGTATTTTCTTTTCTTAACCTAACGGTATCCTCTAAACTGGGATAACTTGAATGATTACTTCTTTTTGCTGATGAATAATGGCAACTTTGCTACCTACAGGTGATTTGGTCGAGGGCTACAGCCTCTGATTCTAGATCCAATGTCTTAAATTTCAATATTCAAGTAAACCAGTGGTCTGTGCATTGGAAAGATGTTTCCCTTGGGTGACATGTATATTACATAAAATAAACCTGATTTTTCTGTTCATAAATGTATTTTCCCACCTATTCCCAAAAGCTCAATGACCACATGCACATGTAATGTCAATAGGCAGATTTTAAGAGCCATCCATCATGTTTAAACATTCCTTGTATTCCTGGCAGTGTGCCAGCACATTGAAACCTAAAGCCCATGCAAAGATACCTGTTGTTTGATGTCAGGTGCTAGCATTCTGACATGGTCTTTTTCATCTGGCTGGATAGAATGTGAAGCATAAAAGAGATCAGGTAAAACCATACCCTCAGCCATATTTCATGTATCTCTTAACTTCCAGTCTATTTTTTCTCTTATCCAGCATATTATCAAGGAAATTGAGTATGGACACAGTACTGGGAATTGATCTAACCACACAATGGAAATTTTACCTTTGAGCCATCTGCAATCTCTGTAAAGCATCATGCTGCATTTTATCTGGGATTTTCTGAAGAGACGCCTGATTTATAACAAGGGACAGAGATAAATCAAGGTAATAATATTTATTAATTATATTTACATGTTGGTCTAAATCAGTGTTCCTCTACCTTGGCACTGTTGACATTTTGGGCCAGATAATTATTTGTTGACAGGGTGGAAGAGCACTGTTTTGAGCACTGAAGAATGTTTAGCAGCATAGCATCCTGGCTTCTACCCACTAGATGCCAATAGCAACCCTTCCTACTTATTTCAGAAAGAGCTAAGATGGATGCAGAAAGTGGATAAATGGTAAAAACTCAAGAGTGGAATCTTATAGAGGAATTGTTTAAATGTACAAAATTTAATAATAATAAAACATGCATAAAAACTCATGAGATGCAACAAAAGCAGTGTTTTGAGTCTAATTTATATGTTTAAATATTTATATTAAAGGAGAAGGAACCTCAGGGCGCCTGGGTGGCTCAGTTGGTTAAGCGACTGCCTTCGGCTCAGGTCATGATCCTGGAGTCCCTGGATCGAGTCCCGCATCGGGCTCCC